GGAGGGGCTCAGGGAATGGAGCACTAAGCTGGCCCCAGAATGGTGGCTGGGCTCCTCTGGGGAAGGGGCTCCTTTAGGGACACAGGAGGAAGGAAGGTTTGGGACATGGTATGTGTGAGGTGCTGGCAGGGACACATGGGGTCCGTGGCACAGAGGAGAGGCCTGGGTTGATATAATGGGACTGTACGCCATCAGCACTGAGAGGGACGAGGCACCGACCAGAGGGAGGGGAAAGCAGCCCAGACAGAGCACAGGACGCCAGCCCTGGGGAGTCCTCCTCCCCTGACCCCCAGTTCTGCTCACAGCCTCCCATCAGGATGCCTCCCTGCTGGGCCCAGGGAGCCAGCACACCGGCTCTCACCTTCAGGGTTCCTTTGCTGTTTCCTCCTACCTTCACATTAATCTTGCTCCCCAAGGAAAACTTACAGGAACAGAAAAGAGAAAGATGTCAGAAGGGCACCGCAGACACAGTTTGCTGTTCCCACTCACCTCCTCCCTGAAGACAATCCCCCACCCCTCACATTTCCACACAGTTTACACCTTCACATGCATTATCTCACTTCAACCTCCTAAAAATTCTGTTGGGTGGAGGCTGCATAGATTATTTTCAAACGAGAAAAATGAAGCTCAGAACTTAGGTGCTTGTCTAGGTCACACAGCCAAGAAGTCTTCCCATAAGGATACCAGGAGGAGGTGCTGTGGTGGGGTCCACAGGAGTGCAGGACTGGGGATGGATTTTGGCCCAGCCCCAGGGGGCCCAGGAGTCATGGCAACCAAGGTGAGGGAGTGGCTCACCTGTAGCTCCTCCTCCAGCCCCCGAATTTGGTGGTTGTTCAGCTGCAGCATGTGAGACTTGAGCCCATTGCGGCCCACGGAGCTGAGAGTCACATTGAGCTCCCTCTCCTCAGTGGTGTGGGAAGCGATCCAGTATGCAGACAGAGCATCCAGGGCCATCACCGTGTCCTGGGGAGGTGGGCCAGGCCTCAGGTACTTGGTCTTAGGACCACCTGCCTCAGAGCTCTGGGGGCACCCCTACCTGGGTGCTGCGGAATCCCCCCTGGAAACTGCCCTGGTGGGTGAGCCAGGTTGCAGCCTGGTCAGCCATCTCTGCCTTGCCCTCCCAAAGCAGCAGATGCAGCAGGCCATAGGCCGTGGTTTCAATCCACACGGCTGGGGCCCGGGGCATGGGGTCTGTAGGGCTGTGAGGAGCCAAGGTAGGTGACGCAACATTGCTCTGAGATCCGGTGACTGAGCCCCAATACAGGTTGTCTGGAAGTGAAGCGAGACCCATAGGTGAAGGGGTGAGGACCTTTGTTGCCTAGCCCTTTGATGCTCCCTCTG